CCCCCTGTAGTTTTTTTTACATAACTCAAAAAGTATTGGTCTGAGGCTGTTGAAATTTTCTGACTTTTCTTACATACCCAAAGCCCTCCCTTTAGGCCTAAAACCGGACTTTAATACTAACTGCCTGAGTCCTCAGGCACAATGCCTGAATGACTGCTTTGACCCACTTTCACTTGTCAGATTTTGATAAAATTTAGCTTTTTGGAAACAACCTGTCAAAGGAAATTTGCATACTTTTAGTTTTTCTTCATTAAAAATTAGGTAATTTAAAATTTTGCAAAACTTTTTGCATATTTTTGCATGGTCAAGGGCTTTTCTAAAATGTATGATTTTTTATTTTTTGACACATTTTTTTGCAAACATTTTTACTATATAACTGGATTTTGCAATAAAAAATTCAATTTTTGCAAATTTGCAAATTTTTTTGCTGGAACCCCTAAATCTTTTCTGTAAGGCTGTTAGAATCTATATATATTTAGATTATCCCGAAACCGCTGTGCTTTCTTGTGCTTTTGTTGATAAATATATGATAAATATATGAACGGGAAAAGTAATTATAAATTGAAATCATAGGTAAGATAAAAATGAATGTAGAGGAACATGTGTTACAACATAAAAGGGCACCCCCCCCCCCATTAGACCAAAATGGCCTAATCGGGATAGGGTTAATCTAGATATATATTCTATAGTATAACTCTGTATACCGATAGTTTACTTCTATTACACTGGTTTCAGACATAACTACTCACAGTATTCACAATACACATGCAGTATACACATTCTAGACGGAAGGGGCTCGATTTAATCATGTAGTGCATTGCTGACAGTTAGTTATTTGATGATGATGCCGTTACACCATTTTCTTCTTAACTATCCGTTTACATATGAGGAATGGGGATGTTCTTCTTTATATTACAACCAACATCTTACTTTTGTTTGAAAGGCTAAAACTGGCACAGACTAGCTAACACAGACTGCCTGTAGGTGGGTACTGGTCTGAAAAATAACAACTTGCAGTATACATACATCCCTGGTTCTGCGGTGGACAGTTGGTTTTTGCATTGCACGTGTAAACCTAGTTATTTATCAACAAGAATTATACAGGATAAAACAATATGCCGGAGGCTGGACTGGAGGTTGTTAACGCAACATGTGAAGGTCGTTTGCACGTGGGGGTCTTTAACAGATAATGTTAGGATCGTTAATTGAAAATGAGGGATCAGTATATTTGATAATGTTAGGATCGTTAATTGAAAATGAGGGATCAGTATATTTGATAATGTTAGGATCGTTAATTGAAAATGAGGGATCAGAATATTTGATAATGTTGGGGGTCGTTAACATATAAACAGGGTTTGTTGATAAAACATATTGACTGAAAACGTTAGGGTTGTTATTGAATTAATAGGAGGTCGTTAAAAGAGACGTAGGAATGGTGGTCGTTGACGGAGAAAGTGGGGGTCGTTTAAAGAGAAAGCAGCAATGGTGGTCATTAAAGGAAAACTGGTGGTTGTGGTCGCTAATGGGAAGGCGGATGTCTTTAAAGAGAAACTAGAAGTCATTTAAGGGGGAAGTGGGAATGGTTGTTAACGGAACAAGTGAGGGTCGTTTAACCCTATTCCCGCTGGGGGGGGGAATCCTGGTTTTCAAGTACCCCAGCGGGGATAGGGTTAAAGAGAAAGTTGGAATGGTGGCCTTAAAGGAAAAGTGGTGGTTTCGTTAATGGAGAAAGTGGATGTTGTTTACGGAGAAAGTAGAGGTCGTTTACGAAGAAAGTGGAGGTCGTTAACAGAGGAAGTGGGAATGGTGGTCGTTAAAGGAAAACTGGTGGTTGTGGTCGTTCATGAAGAAAGTGGATGTCATTTATGGAGGAAATGGGAATGATGGTTGTTAACGGAGAAAGTGGGTGTCGTTTAAAGAGAAAGTTGGAATGGTGGTTGTTAAAAAAAATGGTGGTTGTGGTCATTAACAGAGAAAGTGGACGTCGTTTACAGAGAAAGTGGAGGTCGTTTACGGAGGAAGTTGGAAGGGTGGTCGTTAACATAGAAATTTGGGAGCATTTAAAGAGAAAGTAGGAATGGTGGTCGTTAAAAGAAAACTGGTGGTTGTAGTCGTTAATGGTCGTTAATGGGAAAGCAGATGTCTTTTACAGAGAAAGTAGAAGTCATTTAAGGGGGAAGTGAGAATGGTGGTTGTTAACGGAAAAAGTGAGGGTCGTTTACATTGAAAGTAGGAATGGTGGTTGTTAAAGGAGAAGTGGGGGTTGTGGTCATTAACATTTAAAGTGCATGGTCGACTGTTAACTAACTAAAGGAAGCTGCACAGTACAATCACAAGATAATGTGGGGGTCGTTAACAGAGAAAGGGGGTTGACAGGGTGTGTGGGGAAGGAAGGGATGTTAACAGAAAATTTTAATTGTTAATAATAGGTTGTGCTTTCAAATGATTCACGAAAGCCCAGACTCAAATATAACCGAATGATATTAAAAATGAAGCATGTGCCAAACTATGAGCTCAGCCCTAAGCAAACCCCCCAATGTAATTATATTTCTATAGGACATACATCATCTTTGAAATTTGTCCCACTTTATCCATCTTGAAAATAATTTTAACGACGTTTTCATTTATATCAGAGAATTCAATCAATTAATCGCAAACGAAAAAATATGCAAAAAATATTATTCAGTTAGTTTTTGAAAATCCATCAATGTAAACAGAAATATCTTCAACATTTTAGTTTTACGATGATGTAATGTACAATCACAAAAAAAAATTGACGACTTGAGAAAGAAAAGCAGTGTTTTTAAGCTAGAATTGTTAAAATTAAAAAGCCAAGGATATATAATTATTGAATTCTTTCGTTTAAACATGAAATTCAAATCATGAAATGAAACCTTTATCATCAATTAAATGATTTAATAATCTACAATTAATAGAAAATCGTTATGAATTCTATCAAAACGTTCATTTATAATGCATGAAAATATACCGCAGAGCATTCAACTATGAAAGCTAATATCTTTAAGTACAACGGCATGTATATGTTGTCATTTTACAAGTTTAAATAAAAAGGTATAGCTCTTACATTTTCTAAATATTTTCTACTTTCAACCTTTTTTCCGGAGATTTGGTTTAGATTTGAAGCTGTTAAAGTCTTATTGTATTTATATATTGTACGGACATTTTGGAGTTTTAAATGTAATCTTTATTGCATAAAGACTACATAAAGAATTTGGTTCAGATTTGAAGCTGTTATAGATGTTGTATTTATATATTGTACGGACAACATTTTGGAGTTTTAAATGTAATCTTTATTGCATATAGACTACATTTTGGAAACCTGTTTGAAGGTGTGTGGGTCGGCTTTCATAGCAAAAGTTTATTTTCCAGATAAAGCTGGATTCCATAGCTATAATGTAAAATGAGATTAAATATATTTAAAATTTGAATTTTGTTGAAAAATTCTAACATTTAAACACATTAAGAATATTTTCCAAATGTAATAATAATTGCATTTTTGTCTTGCCATTGTTGTTATTGACATGTATACTTTGAATATAAAATTTTCTCTATATGCTAGAAATGTTGCTGTATTATTTAATGTAATTTTCTGTTCAATCAGAATTAGAGTTTAGCTAAATTTTCTTATAAATATTTCATGTCTAAACCTAGTGTTACGCATGAAATAAACTCATAAAGCATAAATAATTGTGTTTAAACTAAATATTAAACACTTGGGACAATACAATGATAGCAATCATACCAATCATATGTCAAATATGATTAAAAGTAAAATGTTAATGAGGAAATTATTTAAGAAATATGCCATCATTTAAATTCATTGAAATCACAAACAAACAGACCAGCAAAAATTAACCCTATTCCCGCTGGGGGGGGGGGGTCAATCTCCTTATTGATTCCTTTAATTGTTCCTTTAAGTTGTAGATAACATCCTTTGTCGTTTTACACATCAGGGTGTCCCACGATACATGTTAGTTGGTGAATAGTTTAGATTGTCTTCTTCCATAATTTGTTAAGTTTTTAATATTAAAGACAATATAATAAAAATATTATATAGGAGTCATATCATAGTAAAATCAATTTCAACGTAAAATATATTTGAGCAAAAATTTTTTAAACGAAATAAACTGCAAACAGCCTTTAATATCTAATACAGTGTATGGAACAAGACATTCAAAACCATTTACCAACTGTCATGTTTCATGGGACACCCTGTAGTTTTAAGTTGAATCAACTTCTTAAAAATAAGATTCCATGAAAAGGAGGAGGGGGAGGGTTATGTAAACATCTTTATTTAAGCATGTAAACATGATGAGAGGTTAGAAATTATGTAAATCTACCAATTTTCAAATCGAGTACTCGACTAATTGCAAACTGAGAACGTTAACGTATGATCTGTACTTTAGTTAAGATATGAAAGTACAACGTTTTTTGTGTCATGACGGTTCAGAATAAATCTCAGAAGGTGTGTACAGTACGA